GTAGTTTTTTTTTTTTTTTTTTTTTCAGTTAAAAAACAGATGCTTTTGAATGTCCCCAAAGGGAGATTCTCACATTTAGTTCACTTCTGGGTACAAATTTATCTCTGATACAAATACAGCTCACCCACACACACACACACACACGCACACACTTCCAGAGGTGTCTGAGTTCACAGCTGTCACTAAGACACACCGATATTAATTACCATTGTGTTGATCTGACAGCTGAGAGCAGGGGTCTGCAGCCTTTAACTTTACAGAAGAAAGGTACAAGCAAATCCACATGTGATATGACAGCTTGGAAAAGAAATGAAACGGATGATCATAAGGTGATATAAAGAGAAAGAACCACCACCATTGTCGACATACTTGACTAAATTTAGGTTTCTCGTGATCTTTAAATCCTTTTGATCTGAAAGTTTATACTTAAAGGCTTAAAATTAGTTATTTAGAAATATATAATGTGCAATTGTAATTTAAAGCTCAACTGTGAGACTATTTTTATTTAATTATTTGATAAATAAGTTATTAAATAAATAAATAACAACAAAAAAGACTATATAGTCGCATATTCCCATAATTCCATTTGTTGTTTTATAGTTTTGTTGTAATATGTGTTCAAAACATGAATATTATTGTTGTAGAAAGAAAAATTAGCTATGCGTTAAAAGTTTTGACTGATATTATTTATTTAATACTTAACGTCTCTGTGTGTGTTTGTGTATGTATACAGAAAGAGACATTGCAATAAAACTCAGGCAAACATAATTCAGCTCAATATTACAATTCACAAACACATCTGTCATACGAGCATAGAGATGTTTATTGAGTGAGTCTGTTATTGGACTCGAGTTTCTATTAGTCTGAGTGACAAATGCAAGAAAGGCTGAGGGAGACATTTATTATTAACCCCCATGATGACAGACAATCAATATGCAGGTGTTTGCTATTGTCCCAGACACAGGTGAAGCTGTCTACGACAAACTTATTGACTTACATGCGGGTTTTGCTGTGTGATAATCCAGTTACGGCCTCCTGCAGTCTGTCAGGTGAAATGAAACGGCGGAGGATGTTTGTACAAACGACGTTAGCGCTGCGACTGATGAACGGCCAGATTCACAAAACAACGCACATTTTTAAGTCAAACCACGTACATCTCTGGCAGTACAACTTTCTAATTTTTTCTAAATTAAGTTATTATAGCCTAATTCGTTTCGGAACAAAAGCGCCTGTGTTGAGAAGGGTCTGGCTGCAGCCTCGCACTTGCACTCTCAGACTTGCACTCTCAGACACTTGCGCTTCCGCTAGCGACGTCACTTGCAGTCTTTATTTTTTATTTTGTTCTATTTTTTATTACTTTTTGTTTGAATCTCTCAACATTTTACAACAGTAGCCAGGTGGTGAAGACAAGAAAAAAGAAACTTACTTACAATGTCACTTGCAATCGCCACTTGCACTCTCCGCTTTCTGCGACATCACTTGCAATCGACACAAATGGTGCGTGTTGCCAATGTTCATATGAAAACAGCGGCAGACTTCGATCGACTCCTCCCAGTCTTTCAGCGCGTTCTTTTTCAATCTGCAGACCTCAGCGCGCAGAGCAAGAAACAGAGGACAAGGTGTGTGTTTAACAATAGATCGTTATAATATCTGCATCTGTGCAGTTCTGTTCTTTGTCATAAATACAGTTTACAAAATATCAATCAGTACCACATTCCTAGAATCGCCCCTGGGTTATGCCATAAGTAGCCTATCAATCTTCTGTCAGTCACATCTTCACATGATATGAAGAGTTCACTAGCGAAAATTTGTACGCATTAGCTTGTGTTCCCTGTGTCCCACATACGCATGTCTATGAATAGAAATATTAACGGAAGGAAAAAGTGTACTGTGACTGCGCTTTCAAATATGTGCTTAAAAACAATATTAGTGGTCCTATTCATTGTGGTTTCACGCCTCAGTGTTCAATCATACAGACCATGACCTTTAATAAGCTAATGATGACGCATTTCAAGTATGCAGTTTTCATGACAACTGCAAACAAACATTTGCTGACATCAGAGGTCTGTGGGCACGGTTGAAAACAGCAGTGTGTATGTGTTTTAATGAGCAATACTAATGTCCCTGGACATGTACCCTAAATAAAGTAAACTAAGTCAAAACTCTCCCTTACTTGTGCTTGAACTTCACTGCCTCAGTTAGCCTAGTTGTTTTCTTCAAAGGGCTTTGGCCATTAGGCCTATGCTGCCTGCTAAATACAGTTATATTGTATATGTCTATAAAAATAAGGTAGGCTATACGTCTCTGTATTCTTTATTTTTCTCTTCCTGTCTCTCTATATTTCCTATTTTCTTTATATTTCCTTCCTCCAGGGGAAGCTTCTAGTCATTTGAACAAGCAAACCTATACAATATCAGTCTAAATATCCAATCACATCAAGATCACCATCACAAAAACATGTTTGAGAAAGTGAAACTCATTCTGGTCATTCATGTGTTTTGAACAACAGATTTTACGCTCTATAAAGAATGACTTTAAACATTCTTGTGGTGAAAACGGTGCACAGTGTCACACAGACAGGTGCAAGTTCTTAAGTATGAGGTGTGTGAGAGAAAAACTGAATCTAGGTCATGGTAGTGCATAAAGAGGACCAGTACAACTTGATGGTGCGCTTGTGGTTGGCCATCTCTTTAGATTTAGTCCAAATCTGAAGACATTTGCTGACATCATTTTATTTTCCTATATAAGAAACAACCTGGTGTATTTATTCTATGTGTCTACCAGTAAATGTTTTTTACAGTATTAAGTGTTGTTTTGTTTGTTTGGTCAACAGAAGTACACACAAGTGCATCATGTTGAAAATAAGGTCAAAGGAAACCAGATGCACTGCACTTTCCACTTCCTGCCATTGACCTGTCAATACCATCACAGTTTCCACCCAACTGCACCCGATGCAACTCAGCATCTTCCTCACTCTCCTCTGTCTCACATGTACTGACACAAGTATACCACAGTCAATGGTTTTCACAGACTTTTATTGTAAATGGCAAAAGAAACCACAGTATGAAAGTGTCAAAATGAAGTCTGAGAAACATTTCTAAGAAGGCTGAAAGGCATAGCGGACATCTGTACAGCATAAAAGTCTTTACTATAAAACTTTTCACAGTTAGACACAAAGAAAACGCCAGGGCAGGCAGTGTGTGCTACTTTTATACATGTTTGAATTAGTTTATCATGCATGTCAGTATGACACATCTTCACTTTAATTTAAAAAAGACTCATATAAACAACAAAATTAAAATAAGAATAAAACTATCAACAGAGCTGCTACAAAGAGAGGGATTAATATCTGTTGCCACCATCGAGAGCTCAAAGGGCTTCAACTGTATCTGAAGATTAAAATCACTTCTGCTATTTACAAAGATGTTCTCATGAAAGAAGAGAGAGAATGCAAAATGCAATGCAGTGAACAGTACATCACGTTCATCTTTCTTTTCTGGTTGTCATTGGTCTTCACCCCTCCTTAGATCAAAGTAAGACCAGTAAACAGGCACTTGGTACTGTAGAGAGAGAAAGAGGGCATGAATCAAATAGTCATGTCATTTGAAATATGGATGTAATATGGAATAATTTCATCAGAATCCTTGAGAATTTAAAGAGACATGATAAAGAGCAGATTTGATACAGAATGAGGCTCAGAAGTGCATCAGTGAGATCTCGTCGCACTCTCTCACAGTGGAATTGCAGATGTTGCTCAGAAATTGTGCTTTATGACATCATACAGTAACATGGGAAGCAAAACAATCTATTTTTAATTCATTCTAATTCAGAATAAAAACATGCTTTTAAGATCTAGCTGGTTACTTGCATCTACTTGAGACAATGTATTTTATTGTGCCCTGTATTGCAATGCATTAGTGTTGATTTGGGTCAAGGGTCCTTCATAAAGTGTCTGTTTTGTAATTTGCAGTATGCATATGTATGAATACCCAAATGACCTACTACATTTCCCAAAATGTTACAACATTACAAAAAAGAACACACTCCAAGATGTTCTTTCAATGTTTATCCACAGGTGCACCAATGTCCATGGATCAAGGCTGAATCACTGTTCAATATTGATGAATTCATGTTGATATTGCGACATTGTATCAACATCTTTTTGACACGGGTGAATGAATTTCAGACTGACATAAGTATTTTGATAACCTTTTTCTAACCATTTAGCATTAAATGCTATTTCAATGTGTTTTCAATCTTGAAACTACAATTGATATTACTGCAACTATTTCAACATTAAATGTCAGTCATGTGCCGACTGGGACTGTGTGGGATACACAATGCAATGCGACGCACTTCAGTCCAGTGTGATAAATTAACTGTAATAAATATCAGCCATGATACTCAACACAACAGCTAAAAGTTAAAGAGTTTTTATTTGTTACAATAAAAATGCAAAATAACCCTATGCATTTCCAAGATGATATAACTGCATAATCACTTAACTAAGAAATTAGTCTTAAGAATTTAAGACCATTTTTCTGTAATGCTGCTTTGGAACAATGTCCACTATGAAAATGACACTGAAATTAAAATGAACTTGACTGAACATGTAACATCACAAGGTAACCAAAAACTAGTTTTTACTAAATAATACACCATACATATTTTGCAGTATGCATGCTAGTATTCCATTCCGAACAGAGCCAACACCAACATCTGGAGCTGTGGATGTATTTAGAAACCAACCAACACATTCATGAAAACAACTTAGTTGAACAAATATTTCCTGTTACAAACATGGTTAGGCCTTATAGATACACTTAGGTTATGGTCGTATGTTTTTGCCTGACTCGATGCATACAATTTTGCCATCTTGTACCAATTATTTCGACTTCTCTTGAGGTCGGATTTGACTTACCCACTGGAGGGATCCTCGAGAGGAGCCTGTGCTACCTTCCTCCTCTTCCATGTTCTCATGCTCCTCACCCTCACTGTGTGGCGTCTGGTGAATGACTACTCGCTCTGAGGGAAGAGACAGACATTGGGATTTAGGGCTACATCCAAATATCTATGATGACAATTTAAACCCTTTCAAATGTTTCCAACCAGTTTTATATTATTGCAGAATTTCCATTACTGATGGCATTTTTAATCAGAAGTAACACGTACCAGATATACCTTACAAACCTTTCCAAAAAAGTATTGCGCTTTTCTATTTTTTATTTATTTTTTTACTGACACATAGAACCAAACCGCACCTTAGTCTATGCAGTGTGCATGACAACATGTCTACACTGAAAGCGGGTGATGTGACATGACAAAAATATACTGTTCTCATTATGAATCAACAAAGCTGTCTATACTATAAGCAGCATTGTGTATATACACAGGTGTTAAAGTTGTTGCATGCAAACTATGTCCAGACGACAAAAAACTGTCTACAGCAAAAAAAAATTCCCACTTTACCACAAATAAAAAAAACACCTTTCAAGAGTGTTTGAGAGAGGCTCAGCCAACTGAAATAATGCAAGTAACTTGAGCAATGGTTCTGCTTCAGGAACCAGATTTTACATGGGATATTGCAGAAATATATCAAGTAGAATTATATATTTAATATTAATTCAATACAAGACCATGCAGTGTTTGGTTGAAAAAAACACTTTGGCTGTTTATGCATTTACAAAATGTTCAGTTTTCCTATTCTGACAATGTCATATGAATAATTTTCATATCGTTGGCCTGTGCAGTGCATTCTATATCAATATTCATTTTAATGTTAATATGTTATTCTATTTACATACCATAATACCAAATGGCAAAATGTCTGCCAAAGCACAAGAGTCTGATTAATTATTAATTGCATAGAAAAGTATTGTTTTTCCTCACTTTCCATGACCATACATTTGAGAAGGGTTTTACTAATGCATGACTGCAAAAACTAGCAATGTAACATTTATTTATTTTTTACATAAACATAAAATTATTATTTATAAGTAAAATAAAATGTCTGTATTTTTATATTAAAATATTTCTGACTATTTGCAAATATAATATATACAATTGTATATAATATAAAAATATTTTTTTTATATAATATAAAATTCGGAATAATTTTTTCAAAGTAATGTTTTAGAATTTTGTAGTAAATCATTTTTTTTAGAACTTTAGAACAAAATAATAACTGTTACTTTTAAAAAGTAATGTTAACTGTGTGTTTGAATAAGCTCAACATTTGCACTTCCTGTGTGAGGGGCCACACCGCTACAAAATCTGACAAGTTTTGACATGAAAGACCTGCTCACACAGCAACTTTGTGACATAGGCTACATTATTTTTCATATTACATGCACTTGCATCATTCACTGTGCTGTTAGTCAGTGTAAGTTTTTTGGAGTGTCTGGATGTTTGTATGACAGCGTACCGTTGTTTAATAGTCAGCTGCAGAAAATTTACAATTCATCCGATCCATGAATGAATAATAAATGTAATAAATGTCTGTCTGTGATTACAGTATTGAACTGGGTATAAGTGGTGTAAAACACCTCATAATTCTTAATGAACTTTTAATGAGTCTCAGCTTTGCAGGAAAAACATAAGTACTGTACAACACTGAGGATGATAAAGCAATGCGGTACACATGCATTCAGCACGAACACACCAGTAATGAGCCTCAGTATTGAAGTGTACCTGATTTTTTACAGGAGTTCCTCATCTTGCACACGCTGAAGGCCAAGCAGAGGGTCAGCAGGCCGATGGCAGCAGCCAGAGATAGAGGCAGGATGGGAGGTGAAGGGGGGCCGGTAGTCCCATTGATTTGAGTTTTTTGGGCAGATGTACTAGCACTGCCTGTAATGATGTCAGCAGAAGAAATTAGACAACTAATCATTTAGAGATAATTTGTATTACTATATTATTATATGAAGTCATAAAAGTCCACAACATGACCTGAATTATGCGGACACCTGCTTCTAATGAATAGGGTTGGCTAGATCCCTTAAATCCAATGACATGAATCTTAATGCTATGTGAAATTACAAAGAATGCCATATATGAATGAGAGGAATGAGTGTGGAAGAAGAATCTTACTTTGAGTTGTTGCCTCAGTACTGTGTTCACCTTTACAGACATTCAGGTAAGTTTTTTGTCCCTCATATTCTAGCAGAACTGGTATGTCCTGAATCACTTTACAAACATAATCTCCAGTGTCATTTTTAACTATATTTGTGATTTTCAGAAAGGAGCAGTTTTTCATTGGGGACGTTTGATATAGCCGCTTTTCTACCGGTATTCTTTTCTTATCCTTATACCAAGCTACTTTAAAATCACTGTTTTCTTCTTTTGTTTTACTCCAGCAGCAGCTGATTTGATCAGATTCTCCTTCATTCACAATGATGCTCAATGGGCTCTGAATCACAGACAGCTCCTCATATGAACCTATGAGAAAAACACAAATGACAGCTTGCCACTGTTGAGTTTTGTATTATTATTATTTTTTTTTTTGGCAAAAATCTGAGGCATGTTGCCTCAGAGACATCTCCATAATCAAATCAAATTAAAATGATCACAGATTAAATGCAAAATGCACTGAATGTCCTAATCTACACTAAACCTACCTCTTACAGAAAACATTCTTTGTTTTAACGTGTGTTTTTAATTAGATGTAATAATAATTATATTGCATTTTAGTTTTTGCAGAGGTTTCAAACGTTAGTAGTTGGTCAAAGTGACCTTACTAAAACTAGATAAATTCTCTTTTAAATACCCTAAATACTAATCATTACAAGTCTCCTGCATGGATTCAGGTACTTTAAATACTTTAAATGTATACATTGTCATACAGACAATGCATACTTTTTTAACCAAAAATTAAATAAAAAATGCAACCAAAAAATTATGCAAATGCTATATATAGCCTATATATATATGTGTGTGTGGGTGTGTGTGTGTATATATATATATATAAATGTACACACACACACACACATATATATATATATATATATATATATACGTATATATTCAATTCAACTTTATTTGTATAGCGCTTTTCAAGATACAAATAGTTGCAAAGCAGCTTTACAGAAAGTATATAGAAGTTTCTACAATATATTTAGTAGTAGCTTATCAGTGGTGACTATGTCAAAATGAATGTAGATATGGCAGAAATGTACGGTAAAATTCAGTTAATGACGTAATCAAACATATATATATATAATGATAAACATTAAAATAAGTTTTTTAGCATTGTGTATTGCTAATGTGATGTTACACATTAGTAAATTGCTTTGGATAAAAGTAACTGCTAAATACATTTATGTAAATGTAAATGCAATATGGTACAAAAATGTCTCCAACTGAACATAGGAAGGCAGCCATTATCTTACAGCTCTACAATCATTTGATTTGTTTTATTTTGTACTAATACTGAACAGTATCATGGAGCATCTGTGCTGGTTTTCCATTCAGGAATGAGTTTCTTGTGGCACTTACCTCTGAAACAAAGGCATGACATGAGGAGTCCACACAGGAGTCTGGAGGAACACTTCATTTCTGAGCGTCTGCAGAGAATCTGAACTCTGCTTTACTCCCACATCACAACCGTTCACACGCATGAGACACTCGTACTCTCAGATTTTCACCCCCTCCCCACGCCACTAATTTTATCACAGCGAAGCCCAGAGTAAACCACAACACTGCTCTCACACTCGATTCACCTCGGACACACTGAACACAACCATATACACAATCACACAGAAAGGTTCATGCATGAACATATTTTATTTCATTTACTTTCAGAATTCAGTAAGTCATTGCAAACTATTACGAGTCTGCAAACAAGCTATCATGCAGGAAGTGACATCATAGACCTGAACAGCACAGCCATAACTCCATTTCCTGCGTCTCACAGAGCTGAAACTAAGTCGCCCAGCACAGAAACAGTCCCTTCTTCAACACTTTGAAGTGTCTTTTCATCAGTGTTCAGAACAGAAATGGTCTTGTTTTCGTTGCCATGCATTGGAGATGCACCTTGTTCAATGCTCACAACTACAGCCGTCGGTTTTTCTTCATCTGTTTCTTCTTCTGTTGCAACAGTAACTTCAGGATTCTCGTTGTTGACCCTCCCTTTCTCCTGTTCTGAAATATTCTCACCCTGTTTCACCTCTTCAGTTTCATTCCTCTGTGTCTCTCCAGCCTCCAGGTCTTCATCTGGTCCTTCTCCCAACTCTACAGCATGCTCAACTGCTTTAGATGGAAAATAAATAAATATAAAAATCTCACTTACAGAACTCACTTATATCTAAGGCTATAAATGTTTACTTTAAAGGAACAGTTCACCCAAAAATGTACTCACCCCCAGGCCATTCTAGATATAGTGATTACATCACTTGCTCACCAATGGATCCTCTGCAGTAATTAGTGTTGTTTACGTTCAGGAGAAAGCGTGCGCATGCTGAACGTAAACAACGCTGATTACGTTGATTAAGTTCTGGGGAAAGCACACGCATGCGGCGTGGTACTCTCCAAAATGGCAGAAGACGTTAACTCGGGAAGAAGAACTGTTGGTTACACTTTACTTGAAGGGGTGTGCATAAGACTGACATGACACCTTCATAATCATGACATGACACCTACATAATCATGACATGACACATGTCATGAATATGAAGGTTTTTTATGCATGTTTATGACAACTGTCATTAAGTGTCATTCGCTCAGTTATGTAATTTTAAATGCAAATATGACATTATTTGACCTAACCCTACCCCTACCCTTACCCCTAACCATAGCCCATAACAAAGACATCTCAAACAATGTCATCTTTGCATTAAAAATTACATAACTGAGCGAATGACACTTAATGACAGTTGTCATAAACATGCATAAAACCTCCATATTCATGACATGTGTCATGTCATGATTATGAAGGTGTCATGTCAGTCTTATGCACACCCCTTCAAGTAGTGTTACCGAACTGTTGAATAAATGATGTTATTTTTGTTTTCTTTGCACACAAAAAGTATTCTCGTAGCTTCCTAAAATTACGGTTGAACCACTGATGTCACGTGGTTTTATCGCTGTCCTTACTACGTTTCTGGGTCTGGGAACATTTCAGTTGTGTTGCTGGAACGACATGACGGTGAGTAATTAATGACAGAATTTTTATTTGGTGAACTAACCCTTTAATGATGGATTCATTTCTTACAAACATGCAGCTTTTCTCTTCACAACTTGTTAACTGATGGACTGGAGTGGTGTGGATTACTTGTGGATTATTGTGATGTTTTTATCAGCTGATTGGACTATCATTCTGACGGCACCCATTCACTGCAAATGATCCAATGCTGAGCAAGTGATGTACTAACCCCGACGCCATCCAAGATGTAGATGAGTTTGTTTCTTCATCAGTTAGGAGAAATTCAGCATTACATTTTCAGCAAATTATCATTTTTTGAGTAAACTATTCCTTTAACTATACTTCTACTGTGGTACAAATCTATTATTTAACTTTGCTTACCACACTTTGTCATAACAAAGAGACAAAAATAGTCTATTGCTGCTCATGCATGAAAACAAACTGTCTGAGATGTTGTTAGACACTGACTGTATTCAAATGAACCTCTGACCACAAGTTCATACACCACTGCTGCGGTGAAGAAAAAAGTGTTTAGAAGAAAAAATCCTATTAAGGATCTCCATAATGAAATGTATTTGTAATTATTCTGTGTAAGTCAAAATTTTCGAGATAGACCTGGGCTGTGAGGTTGTTAAATAGTGACTTATTTTATTTCATTTTAAATTATTTTTATTGATGGTTTTGAATGAATTATATTTCCAATCATCATCATCTTTTGTGTATTATTCTTGCATAATTTTGTATTTTGGAATTTTTTTAAATCATTGTAGCAATTCTCGTATTATATCTTTTTGGATACCTGTGATACCGCCCTTACAAAAGATGTTAAGCATACAGTCTTGTTCCTTTTTCCAATTTTCAAATATATCTTTGCTTCGAATCAAATGTTGTAAACGAATTTGAATCAAAATATTTGTTTGGTTGGTTGGTTTGTTAAAGGCTAAACAAACAACTAAACTATGTTGTGAAGTTTGTGTTGGGTATGTTGAACCATTACCTGGTCTTGATGATGTGACTTGTTTGTTGTTCCTGTTTAGGTAAAAGAACGCCGCCAGCAGACAGATGAAGGGCAGACTTCTGAAAATATAAATGATCACAACCTCCCGCGAACTACCTGTGAAAAACAATTGATCTTTTAAGCTTACAAACATAAATCTTACCCAAGTGTCTTATGGGATTTGTAGTTTGTTTGTGGCGCATCGAGTTACTAAAGCCAAAAACACTTCAGTACTTTACAGTCTGTTTTAAAAAAAAATCCATTCAAAGATGTTTCTAATGAAAACCAGCTCATTTTAGTAAACATTTACAGAATCAAATTCTTCATCTAAGATAAAAAAAAAAAAAAGATCAATATTCATATAACATCTTACCCTTAGGATCCAAATAATTATAGTTTTCATCTTCTGGATTTCTCTTCGGATGATCGACTACACCTGGCTTTTCTTCAATGAGAAATATTAATGACAATGACACATACATATAGCCTGCTAATTTAACAAACTAATTTAAGATTATATATTTCAAATATTATTCATTCATTACTTATTCACTTTTATTAGACAGAGACAACAGAGAGTGACAGGAAACCTTTGGGGAGACAGTCACACCCTGGATTTGAACCCAAATCACCCACATGAACCTCATGATTCATGACGCAACACATTGAGAAAACATACACTAATTGGTACACAGAAAAACAGAATATTAGTAATGTAAGTACTCACTGGTTGTGGGGCTGGAAACCATATGAACAATATCTGTAAAATAGGATAATCTCAGTATGCAACAGTTCTTAAAGGAATAGTTCACACAAAAAATTCAAATGTGCTGAAAATTTACTCACCATCAGGCAATCCAAGTTGTAGATGAGATTTTTATTTATTTGTTTTTTTCTCCATCGGAATAGATTTGAAGAAATTCAGCATTACATCACTTGCTCACCAATGGATCCTCTGCAGTGAATGGGTGCCGTCAGAATAAGAGTCCAAACAGCTGATAAAAACACCACAATATTCCACAAAGTAATCCACACCACACTCCAGTCCATCAGTTAATGTCTTGAGAAGTGAAAAGCTGCATGCTTGTAAGAAACAAATCCATCAAGATATTTTAACTTAAAATGAGTTCTCTATCCATAACACTGCTTTCTCCAGTTAAAAAGTCATCTCATCTGAATCAGGAGAGAAATATGCACAGAACCAAGCACCATTTACAAGCCAAAACAATTCGTATCAGATATGTTGGATGATTTGATGTGAGAGGACAACAGGGGATGGATTTTTTTCACTGGAGGAAGTGTTATTATGGATTATGGATTTATGGACTATTTTGGCCAGAAGCAACGATTACATCTTAATGATAGATTTGTTTCTTACAAACACGCAGCTTTTCGCTTCACAAGACATAAACTGATGGACTGGAGTGGTGTGGATTACTTGTGGATTATTGTGATGTTTTTATCAGCTGTTTGGACTCTCATTCTGACGGCACCCATTCACTGCAGAGGATCCATTGGTGAGCAAGAGCAGTATTGCAAAATTTCTCCAAATCTGTTCCAGTAAAGAAACAAACTCATTTCCATATTGGATGGCCTGAGGGTGAGTATATTTTCAGCAAATTTTCATTTTTTTTTTTGAGTGAGCTGTCTGAAAGGGACAATACACTGTCTTTGAAAATTGTGAACTTTTAATTTAATTATCTGAATTAGTATTAAACAATCTCACCTTCAGTTGTTGTCTGAATCTGAATGATATACAGGTAAGTTTTTTGTCCCTCATATTCTAGCAGAACTGGTATGTCCTGAATCACTTTACAAACATAATCTCCGGTGTCATTTTTAACTATATTTGTGATTTTCAGAAAGGAGCAGTTTTTCATTGGGGACGTTTGATATAGCCGCTTTTCTACTGGTATTCTTTTCTTATCCTTATACCAAGCTACTTTAAAATCACTGTTTTCTTCTTTTGTTTTACTCCAGCAGCAGCTGATTTGATCAGATTCTCCTTCATTCACAGTGATACTCGATGGGCTCTGAATCACAGACAGCTCCTCATATGAACCTGTGAGTAAGAAACAATAAGCAAGTCATCAATATTTGATATTTAACAACACTGTGGGCTGTACGTGTCACAGTACTACTGTGAGGGAGCACGGAGCGAGGAACGAGGAGACCAGGAGTACATCAACACATGAGACTTTAATTGAATCAAGGGAACCAGGAAGACACACATAGCAGAAGACATCAACAAGTAGAACCGACAAACACTAACTGAAAGGACTTTAAACACAGGATAACGAGGGACTAAGGAGACACACCTGGAATCAAATTAACAGTTAATGAAACACAGCTGGGCACAAATGATAACCAATGAGGACAGGACACAGGAAGAACCAAATAAGGGAAAACCGGAACATACACTTGACAGATCGCCCCCCTCCCGGACGGCGCGTCCCGCGCCGTAACAGTACCATCGGGGAGGGGGGGTGGGCGCCCTGGAGGCTGGTGCAGGACTGGAACAGGGCGGAGACAAGGGAAGCCTCCAGGGCGGGTCAGGAGGCCATGGCGGATCAGGGGACTCAGAAAGGCATGGCGGATCAGGAGACTCAGGAGGCCATGGTGGATCAGGAGACTCTGGAGGCCATGGCGGATCCTCCGTGGCCTTAGCTGGCTCGGCCACGGGTATATGGCCCCCCCCCCAAAATTTTCTTGGGGAAATCTAGGAATCCTGGGGGGAGCTCTGGAGGAGCGGGCACTTGAGGGCGTTCTGGAGGAGATTCAGAGACTTGAGCCCTCCTTGGGCTAAGCACGGGAACAGGAGCCCTCCGTGGGCTACACTCGGGAACTGGAGCTCTCCCTGGGCCTAACTGGGTTCAGGAGCCCTTCCTGGGCTAAACGAGGAATCAGGGAACCGACAAACACTAACTGAAAGGACTGGGGCTTTGAAACTCAGGATAACGAGGGACTAAGGAGACACACCTGGAATCAAATTAACAATTAAAGGGGTCATATGATGCAATTTCAATTTTTCCTTTCTCTTTGGAGTGTTACAAGCTCTTGGTGCATAAAGAAGATCTGTAAAGTTGCAAAGACTAAAGTATCAAATCCAAAGAGATACTCTTTAAAAAAAGTTAAGAGTCAGACACGCCTACCTAACCGCTCGCCTCTGCTCACTCAAGCCGGCCTCCGCATACTCTATACTCGGTGTGTGACGCTGTTTTGTTGCGAAAGCGAAACTACTTTGTTTGGCCTTCCAAAAGAGGACACGACTAGAAATCAGTGGTTAAGTTGTATTTACAACACTGTTCCAGAACAGTTCAACCCAAATATTCAGATGTGTCCAGTGCATTTTATGGAGGACTGTTTCCTGATCCTGGTAGAGTAGACTACAATGCCGGCTGTTCTGACTCACAGACTGTAAGTAAGTTTTTTATATTTAAAGAATTTGCCACTGACGATTCAAACGTGAGTTTTTTGGGCAGTGTAGAGTAGCACTTGTTGTTTGTCATTTCTCTGATCACAAATGCAGACATGGTTTTATGTTACGCTCCGGCCGGACAGCATCACAATATGGTAAGGGGCGTAACTTTTCCGTCAAACGCTTGAGGTATTCGGCCAATCACAACGCACTGGATAGCTGGCCAATCAGAGTACACCTTGTTTTTCAGACCGATGAGCTTTGTAAAAATCGACGCGTTTCAGAAAGGCGGGGCATAGAGGAGAAACAATAATGTACAGTATGTGGAAAATAATGTGTTTTTTAACCTTAAACCGCATAAACACATTTCATAACACCAAATACACAAAATAATGTT